GGGCTGGGGTTGTAGCTCAGTGGTAGAGCACTTGCCTAGCAAGTGTGTGAGGAATTGAGTTCAATTCTCAGCACCACATACAAATAAACAAAATAAAAGTCTATCAAATATATATACATATATATATATAAATTATATATATGCATATCTATATAAATTATATATAACTTTTAAAAATAAAGTATGATCAAAACATGCCCAATATTTCTTCAGTACCAAAGTGGGGAAAGGTAAAGGTAAAAATGAATTCTAAATGGTCAGTTTTAGAGGATGCAAGGAAATGTTCAGGGTTTTCAGGAAAGTCATAAACTTTTATCCTCTCCAGAGACAATTTAGACAAAATAATAGTTATTCCTTTATCCTAAGTAGGATCTCTTGACTTTGGGCCTAGGGATTGAACCCGGGGGTATTTAACCACATCCTTATGCTAGGCAAGCACTCTACCATGAAGTCAGATCCTTAGCCCTGTATTATATATTTTAACAGTTTCTATATGAGTCCTCTAAATTCTCACTAAAAATTAGTCAATTCTCTCACAAGTGATTTTTTTTCATTTTATAAAATTCAAATTTTCCTCAAATTTAATATAGGTATTCTTTTTATGTTTGTACAACTCTGAGAGTTCCATTATAAAAGACTGGAGTCTGAGAGGTATGCAGATCAGAAAGTTTAGAGTGGTTTTTTATGTCACTTATTAAAAGACCTTATCCAAGGCTTACAAGATTTTTTCATCCCTTTCCCTTTTTGTAGAATTACTTACAGAACATTTCTCAATGCAAAATATCATACTGACCTAGTTATTTGGGAAATTATATAACAAAGAATACTTTATGTTACATAGTTTATATAATTTATTCCTGTCGTATTATATTCCTAAACTTTTACAATCAGTTCAGAAGCATTTCCTGTCAGATTTAATCAACTTTTTTTTTTTTAAAGAGAGAGGGAGAGAGAGAGAATTTTAATATTTATTTTTTAGTTTTTGGCGGACACAACATCTTTGTTTGTATGTGGTGCTGAGAATCGAACCCGGGCCGCAAGCTACAACTATCTTATATTTGATAAAGGAGCTAAAAGCATGCAATGGAGGGAGGATAGCATCTTCAACAAATGGTGCTGGGAAAACTGGAAATCCATATGCAACAAAATGAAACTGAATCCCCTCCTTTCGCCATGCACAAAAGTTAACTCAAAGTGGATCAAGGAGCTAGATATCAAATCAGAGACTCTGTGTCTGATAGAAGAAAAAGTTGGCTCCGATCTACATATTGTAGGGTCGGGCTCCAAATTCCTTAATAGGACACCCATAGCACAAAAGTTGATAACAAAAATCAACAAATGGGACTTACTTAAACTGAAAAGTTTTCTCTCAGCAAGAGAAACAATAAAAGAGGTAAATAGGGAGCCTACATCATGGGAACAAATTTTTACTCCTCACACTTCAGATAGAGCCCTAATATCCAGAGTATACAAAGAACTCAAAAAATTAAACAATAAGAAAACAAATAACCCAATCAACAAATGGGCCAAAGACCTGAACAGACACTTCTCAGAGGAGGACATACAATCAATCAACAAGTACATGAAAAAATGCTCACCATCTCTAGCAGTCAGAGAAATGCAAATCAAAACCACCCTAAGATACCATCTCACTCCAGTAAGATTGGCAGCCACTATGAAGTCAAACAACAACAAGTGCTGGAGAGGATGTGGGGAAAAGGGTACCCTTGTACATTGCTGGTGGGACTGCAAACTGGTGCGGCCAATCTGGAAATCAGTATGGAGATTCCTGGGAAAGCTGGGAATGGAACCACCATTTGACCCAGCTATTGCCCTTCTTGGACTTTTCCCCGAAGACCTTAAAAGAGCGTACTACAGGGATACTGCTACATCGATGTTCATAGCAGCACAATTCACAGTTGCTAGACTGTGGAACCAACCCAGATGCCCTTCAATAGATGAATGGATAAAAAAAATGTGGCATTTATACACCATGGAGTATTACGCAGCACTAAAAAATGACAAAATCATAGAATTTGCAGGGAAATGGATGGCACTAGAGCAGATTATGCTTAGTGAAGCTAGCCAATCCCTAAAAAACAAATACCAAATGTCTTCTTTGATATAATGAGAGCAACTAAGAACAGAGCAGGGAGGAAGAGCAGGAAGAAAAGATTAACATTAAACAGATAGATGAGGTGGGATGGAAAGGGAGAGAAAAGGGAAATTGCATGGTAATGGAGGGAGACCCTCATTGTTATACAAAATTACATATAAGAGGTTGTGAGGGGAATGGGAAAATAAACAAGGAGAGAAATGAATTACAGTAGATGGGGTAGAGGGAGAAGATGGGAGGGGAGGGGAGGGGGGATAGTAGAGGATAGGAAAGGTAGCAGAATACAACAGTTACTAATATGGCATTATGTAAAAATGTGGATGTGTAACGGATGTGACTCTGCAATCTGTATTTGGGGTAAAATTGGGAGTTCATAACCAACTTGAATCTAATGTATGAAATATGATATGTCAAGAGCTTTATAATGTTTTTAACAACCAATAAAAAAAATAAAAAATAAATAAAAAAAATAAAATAAAAAGAAAAAGGGTAAAGAATATTGATATTTATTGGTCTTCCTTACCAGTTTTTCTATCACTTAGTTCCAGGCCTTCCAGAAAAAAAGGATTTATATATTGTCTGGCAGGATTTTATGGGCCAAAACTGGCCTAACAGTCTGACTGATATCACTTACTTCCACAAAATATTTTGAGTTCCTAAATACTAGGAGGCCATATTTTATGTATTTGCTGTAGTAGGGGATGGTTTTGAGATAGATTTCTTTGTACTAGTACTAACAGAACTGAAAAGTGAATGCTGAGAGATAAAGATGAGAGAAAAACATTAAATTGATAGCTAAAATGATTAGAAAAACAGTGCTCTTTAAATGAGATGGGAAACAGGGAGATGCAGTTTGTTCTAGTGAAATTTTACTTCCAAATTTCTGAAAGGAGCTAGAAAACACCAAAGAAAGATTATCAAGACATATTTTCATTATCATACGCCTTGAAAACATTTACAAACTAGACAAAATGGATGATTTTCACTGTTATGCCACGTTCTCAGTATTCAACTCTCTCTCTGTCTCTGTCTCTCACACATACATACCCCAAAATTCTCATTGACAGCTGAGTGCGTGCAAATTTAGCATCACAGTCCTAACTCTTAGAATAGCTTTATAATCCCAGAAAGGAATATAGGTAGATGTTTGGTGTGGGAAGAGCATGTAATCAAAATCCTAAATAGAAAATAGAGAAAAGACAAAATAGAAAACAGAGATTTAACCACACTATTCCCAGTTAGAAATTTCTAAGCAGAAAAACCTAAGTGTCTCCATGTTAGTCACTAGAATTCATAATGCGTATTTCTTCAACGCTGAGGTAAGGATGGATAGTGACAGGTTCCACTCCATAAAGATGCATTTTCACAAGGAGAGCCCTAGAGATTCTCAGCAAATTTGCTTTTGGTCCACTCTTGACCAACACTTTCATGTACCAAATAGAGTGAGTACCAAGTGATGAATAATTCACTATGTAACTATTCGGTTGGGTTGTATGATACAACAAATAACTTTGAAAATAGCCTATAAGAAATTCTTTGGTAAGACATTTGAATTTCATGTTTCTTTCTTGATTATCTTGAAAGATGTATTATCATATCTTTTTAAAAATTTTTTTATTTGTTTTAAATAGTTAAACATGACAGTAGAATGCATTTATGCACTTTGATAAATCACACACAGATACGATATAATTTCTCATTTTTCTGAGTGTACATGTTGCAGAATCATATTGGTCATGTAGTCACATATATACATACAGTAATAATGTTGGTTTCATTCTACTATCTTTCCTATCCCCACATCCCCTCCCCTCCCCTCCTATCACTTCCCTCTAACTAATCTAAGGTAATGCCATCCTTCCCTAGTGCCCCTGCCACCTTATCACATCTTTTTAAAAACTTTTTATTTGTTCTTTTTAGTTATACATGACAGTAGAAAGAATTTTGACATATCACATATACATGGAGTCTAACTTCCCATTTTTGTGGTCATACATGATATGGAGTTACATTGGTCTTGTATTCATTTCTTTCCACAAAAGAAGCTAGAGATTTTTGCTTCAATTGTTAGTGCAACTGACCCTTTGTTTGCAATTTTCAACATTACTCCATATGCTCTGATGGTGACATAATGACTATTGGCTACTAACTTTTGTTTAGTACATAGGACTGTTGCTATATTTAATATAGTAAACTTGATCAATTCGTTTATTTTGGCATAAACCTGTTGTTGCTGCCCTCTGGAGAGCATTGATGGTTAATGCACAAATATAAATAGAACTTTCCATGTAAATGCAGAATGCTTCTCTTTGAAGGAAAAGAAAACTACAAATGTTGTACAAAATGTGTTTACTTTATAAAAACTTTTAAAATTTGTTTTAGTTTTCCATGTTATTATAACAAAAAACCTTTACCTTTCAGAGATGCTAATTAATTATACATTATACATTCTCCCATTGCTTTGCAACTCAATGATATGTTCTTAATTTCTTTCTTAAGACATTGATTTGAAGCTATATGTACTCCAACAGAAGAAGGTTTAATAGAGCCTCATATAAATAAAGTTTATACAAGAAATTTTAGAAAAATTGTGATGGTTGTGTAATGATAAATAAATTTAAAATCTACTCTTTTCCATTCTTTATCACTTTCAGTATAACATGTTTACCTGTTTCCTAAATTAAGTGTTGACTGTTTTTTATCACTAAATAAGTATATTTAAATTTATTTAATTGGTTATTGTACAAGTTCTTTGGACTTTTAACTAATAATCTTTTTCTTTTTCTTTTCTTTTCTCTCCCCAGAAAAGAGAAGATGATAAATACAGTCTTTTAATTTCTTCTCCTCAATTTTAAACTGTGGTTGCTAAAAGACCGAAGCAATCATGGTGAACCTAAGGAACGCGGTGCGCTCGTTCCTGTAAGGACGCTATTACTTATTCTTTAAATAAAATTAACTTTTATAATAGCTTTCTTAAAGATGTTAAAAATGCTTCTGTGTGACCACTCAGCAATATCTGACTCAATGTGTGTAAATGACTTGTACATCAAAAGATTAATATTATGGTTGTTTCCTATTTAAATATAATAAATGGGAAAAGACAATAATTTGGATTCTCATCAAATATTGGAGTTCATGTCCTCAAATAAATAATATGGTGATGATACTCTCAATTCAAATTATCTCAGGTGTCATGATTGGTTTCTCCATGGATAAAACTTAGAAAGGAGGAAAGTTCTTTCCTTTTTCTTCCTGAATGACCTGAGCAGTCAAGAAAATAAAATGCCTTTATAAGTATCTGATTTTGTGAAGAATAAAACTGCAAAAATAAAGGTCAGAAGTTAGGGTTAAGGGTTGGGGGATGTAGCTGGACAGAAGAAAACAGCACCATCCAGAGAATTCTTGATATAATCCCAGTAGTGAAGTATATAGAATGCAACGTAAGAGGGGTATTTGATTTAACCAAAATCTATTCTGTGAGGAAATGGGCACAGAAAAAGAGATCCAAACCAGTGTCAATTCTGAGCAATACCTTTGAGAAGCTCCTTGTGTCTACATGATCTCCTTTATGATTCCTGTAAAGGAGCTGGCCCAGGGAAAAGTTTACCATATCCTATAAAAACCCATCAGCATGGTGGGCTGAGGCTGGGGCTCAATGGCAGAACACTTGCCTAGCATGTGTGAGGCACTGGGTTAGATCCTTAGCATCACATATAAAAAATAAATAAAACAAAGGCATGCTGTCCATCTACCACTAGAAATTAAAAAAAAAAATCAGCATGGATCCTCTAGAATATGGTCATTGTAGCCCATCTTGGATGGCATTACAGTGATGATAGTCTCAAGTATGCATGATTCCAAGAGAATTAGAGCAGACAATAGAGAAAGGAAAAGATGAAAAACAATGATAAAGAAGAGGAAAAAAAGAAATTAAATGCCCCTGGGTTCAAGCCCTAAAAAAAAAGGAAAATGAAAGAACAAATCTTCCTCCTCTCTGAGTCTATACCAACTGAGTATCTAAAACCATATGCTAAAATGTAGGGCTGCCTTAAAAGTATTCTACTATGAAATTTAAAAATTTATATACAATTTTTTCTATTCTCTTGAGAGAAACAGGAGATCATTCATCTCTTCTATTAAACTCCATTGTCATATGTCATGCCAAAGCTCAGTAGATTTAAAATGTATTCAGACTTAGAAATTATCTTTTTATCTACTAAGTGTAAAATTACATTTTCATTAAAATTTTAGTAGCAATGAGTAAATTATTTGCATTGTTCAGAGAGAAATTATGATGTTGAATACATATTTTATGAGATTCCTGTGAGCTTAATAACATTTAGCGTAAGTGAAGGAGCAAAACCTAAATTATTTCTTCTTTGTAGAAGGACTTTATATATTTCACTAAGCATATAAGTATTAAAAATTAGGTTTAATTATAATAAAGCCAATTCTTGATTATAAAACTATAGAAACAGGATGGAAGTGCAACAAAAACCATAAAACCTTGACTATAAGTGGTGCTCATTAAGACTTTATTGAACTGAATTTAATTGAAACCAGGAAACTGAAGTAAATGTTCTTTCAAAATCTATCCCAGCACCATCAATTTATTTTGTAATGTGTAGAGCAGATAGATTTAAATTCTATATGACTTCTCAGTAATTCAGTATTTCTTTCATGGACTCTTTAATATAAAAGAAAAATATTTTTTGATCAGTAGAGATAGGCAAGACAACTACTTAAAGTATTTTTCAACCCCCCCCAATTCTAAGATATTCAAATTACAAAATTAATAATTAAATGTGGTTTGTTTCATGCACAATTTTGTTATGTACAATTTTGTCCTGTACTCCTCTACCATTTTTAGAGACATGTGAAAATATTAGATGGTTTTAAATTGACTTTGAATATTTGAAGTTGGACTTTATATTTTCCTGGGACCTTATTTTTCTGGGTTTAAGGATACATATATTTGTGGTTCTACAACTGACAACTGAGTATATAGCATATTATTTGAGCACAACTTCACATGAGACTACTTGACATGATCATTAGCTAATTGAAATGAGAAAAAAAAATAATTCAGTAGGGCAGGTATTTCATCAGCTAGGCCAGAAAAGACACTGGCTTTAAAATCATGATCTGAAGGGGGTGGTGGTGTAGCTCTGTGGTAGAGTGTGTGCTTAGCATACACAAATTCCTGGGTTCAGTTCTTGAGCACCAAAATACAATACAATACAATGATAAAATAAATAAAAATCATCTGAGCCCAGTTATGCATAGGTATATATCATCTTGAAATAAAATAAAGACAAATTTTGGGCAAATTTTGATATAGATGAGTGGATATATAGCAACCATAAAATACCTTTATGACTGAAGACAGGCTGGCGGTATATAGCTCAGTAGTAGAATGTAGGGTTAGTAATGTGCAATGTCCTGGGTTTAATCCCCAGCACCAACAAAAACAAAAACAAAAATCCCAGTTTGAAAGCAGAAACAAGGTAAACCTTAATGTTTATTGAGGTCCTATTATGACACAGGTAGTGTTTTCAGGATTTTACGTATATTATATCATTTAATTTTTACAACCACCTATGATAGAGATCATCCTTGTACAGATGAGGAAATTGAAATTTTGAAAGGTTATGTGACTGGCCGAAAAAAATCCTAAAGGTCATATGACCAGGACATTGGCCACATGCTAAATACAATGACAGAGTAATTAAAGCTGAGAGCAAATAACTTCTTTCTATTTATTTGGTTCATCATTTCAATAATTTTATGTATATCAATCACAGTTTAACTATAACACATATCTTTTTGTTTGATAGATGAGATCTTGCTATGTTACCCAGGGTGGCCTTGATTGCCTGAACTGTATGTTGGTCAACAATCAGAAGTGCATGAGTAAGTAGTTTGGATACGAGATAGGATTGTTGACCCACATACAGTCACTTTGCAAATGTGAGCAGATAGGGAGAGTTCTAAAAAGAAATCAACATGTACTATCATCAAAACCCATTGTACCTCTTTTCTATCTCTTTCTTTCTTTCAAAGAGATTGAACCCAGGGGTACTTTACACTTAGCTACACCCCCATCCCTTTTTTTATTTCTTATTTTGAGACAGAATTTCACTAAATTACTGAGGCTGGCCTTAAATTAACAATCCTCCTGACTTTGCCTCCCAAATCACTGGGATTACAGTCCTATGCCACCAGTTTACTGTGCCTCTTTAGAATACCTTCCTGAAGTTGATCTGATGACAACTTATTCCTTCTTAACTTTGGATCAAAAAAAAAGCAACTTTCAATTTTCTTGTCAGTTACTGGATCCTTTAAGAAAATCTCCCTTCATTCCCTTATCAGCTGCCTTAAAAAAATCTAAAAAAAAATAATTTTACAAAATATAAAGAGTAAGTCATCATTATATATATATATATTTGGTTTTGTCTGTTTATTTATTTCTTTTTTTTTCTTTTATTGGTTGTTCAAAACATTACAAAGCTCTTGACATATCATATTTCATACATTTGATTTAAGCAGATTATGAACTCCCATTTTTACCCCGTATACATATTGCAGATTCACATCGGTTCCACATCCACTTTTTTACATATTGCCACACTAGTGTCAGTTGTATTCTGCTGCCCTTCCTATCCTCTACTATCCCCCCTCCCCTCCCCTCCCCTCTCCTCCCATCTTCTCTCTCTACCCCATCTACTGTCATTCATTTCTCTCTCTTGTTTTTTTTTCCCCTTTCCCCTCACTTCCTCTTATATGTAATTTTGTATAACAATGAGGGTCTCCTTCCTTTACCATGCAATTTCCCTTCTCTCTCTCTTTCCCTCCCCCCTCTCGACCCTGTTTAATGGTGATCTTCTTCTCATGCTCTTCCTCCTTATTCTGTTCTTAGTTGCTCTCCTTATATCAAAGATGACATTTGGCATTTGTTTTTTAGGGATTGGCTAGCTTCACTTAGCATAATCTGCTCTAATGCCATCCATTTCCCTGCAAATTCCCTGATTTTGTCATTTTTTAGTGCAGAGTAATACTCCATTGTGTATAAATGCCACATTTTTTTAATCCATTCATCTATTGAAGGGCATCTAGGTTGGTTCCACAGTCTAGCTATTGTGAATTGTGCTGCTATGAACATCGATGTAGCAGTATCCCTATAGTACGCTCTTTTAAGGTCTTCAGGGAATAGTCCAAGAAGGGCAATTAAATCAAATAATACTGTGGTTTTGGATTGCAGTAAAAGTTTAAAAGTGTTTGAAATCAGTAAGACCTGCAATGGGCCCTGGCCCTGCCGTTTACTGGCTAAATTGGCTTGAGAAAGTTACTTAACCTCTTTTTACCTCAGTCTTCTCATCTACTAATAGATATAAATCAGTACTGAGCTCATTTAGTTGTTATATGAAATTAAATGAGTTATCTATATGTATTTCAATAAACTAAGTGCTTAACTCAGTAGTCATTCGGTAAAACTATCCTTTGGATAGAAAGAAACAGAGGTTTCATTAAGAGGGCAGAAATCCTCATCATCATGGATGTTGAAGGAGAAGCAGTTATTCTGTTTAAGAAATATATACACAAGCAATATATATATAAGTATATATATATGAGTATATATTATATATATGTAATCAATATGTAAGCAATACAATATGTACTGATTGAGTTTGTTTTTTTTCTTCTTTTTAATTTTCAGTGTGCACCTAGTTGGCCTTCTGGTTTGGCAATTTGATATTTCTGTAAGTCCAGTGGCAGCCATAGTAACTGACATTTTCAATACCTCCGATGGTGGACGCTTTAAATTCCCAGACGGGGTACAAAACTGGCCAGCAATTTCAATCGTGGTGATAATAATCATGACAATAGGTGGCAACATTCTCGTGATCATGGCAGTTAGCATGGAAAAGAAACTGCACAATGCCACCAATTACTTCTTAATGTCCCTAGCCATTGCTGATATGCTAGTGGGACTACTTGTCATGCCACTGTCTCTGCTTGCAATCCTCTATGGTAAGTCCAGTTCTATTCGTTTTTTAATCTAATTAAAAATTAGTTTCTTAATCTATTAGTTTTTAAGTCTAATTGTATAAATGTGTGCCAAGTAGCATAGTAAACATGGATATAGTTATTTATTTTACCTGTGACATTTGGAAACCTGACACAAGGAATTGGTTGTGTGTATTTAGATTTATTAAATCAGTAGTAGAGTTGTTTCCAAAAAACAAAACAGACATTTTATAACATAGTAAAATTATGCATAGATGCTCTATTCTTCAATGTCATTTGTAAATATAAATGAATATTTGCCTTACAATGTACACAATGGGACAATGACAGAAATATCCTCCACACCTGTGCTTTGGACAGTACCCAAACCATAAGTACCATCTCTAATTAAAAAAAGAAAAAAGAAAGAAAGAAAAGAAAAGAAAAACAGTCACATCTTCAAAAAATATTTTTAAAATAATCTTTTTTTTTTTTTTTGGCAGTGCTGGGGCTATTACTGAGGGCCTCATGTCTGCTAAGCAAGTGTCCTACCACTGAGCTTCCCTGTAGCCCTGAGTGATCTTTTAAAATGTTGACACACTAAGTTTAGCCCGAAATAGTTATTTAGCAATAGCAATTCTTCTTCTTCTTCATGAAGTCTATAATTCTTGTTTGTACAAGCAGACAGGGGTAACAAAATTATTTAGTAAGTATATAGATCAAGTTCACATCATCACCATAAAAATTAAGGCATTGAGTATTTTAGTATGTTGATTTTAGAGAGGCTTCAAATTTTTCTTTTGATTTTTCTGCCATCTCTTTGTTGTGTTCATGGTAACCTAAATTTTGTTCTTTGGCTAATATTTATCTTTGGTACTAGGGATTGCACCTAATGGCATTTTACTACTGAACTACATTCCCAGTCTTTTCTCTCTTTTTTTTTTTTTTTTTTTTTTTATTTTGAGACAGGGTCTTGCTAAGTTGCCCAGGCTGGCCTCAAACTTATGATCCTCCCTCTGGGATTTTAGATACTCACCACCTCAGCTGATTTGGCTAATATTTATGATAAACTATCAAAATTACATACAATTCTACAAATTTTTTAAAAAGAATTTTTTTTTTTTTAAAGATAGGACCTTGCTATATTGTCCAGGCTGGCCTTGAACCTTTAGGCTCAAGGATCCTGCTTCTGCCTCAGCCTCCTGAGTAGCAGGGACCCTAGAAGCACAACACTATACTCACCTCTCTATAAATATCTTTATTAAAAACCTGGAGAGCCTGGTTTGAATTTAATTGCTGATATGTTCATCTTTCAAAGGAGTAAAATAGACTTCCAGTCCCCTGGAGTTTCTAAAGGAACTAGATTAGAAAGAATATTATTAAAAGTTCTCAAATTCTAAAAAAGAATTTCAGCAGGCCTATAAAAATCATCTCTTGTGAAACCTAAAGTTGAATTAGCCTGTTCTAAATACACAGAATATAGAGTGGAAATGTATTATCTTAATAGGTATTTTATAAAGTATTCTTGGAAAATGGGCTTTTCTTATTTTTGCTATTTCAATCATGCATTATCTTCAAAGCATCCCTATTTGACCTGCTCAGAGGGCATTTTTCCACTCTACAGCTCCAAAATTAAGTAAGAAACGGTGATTTAAATGAAACAAAACTGTGATTTAGAAGGTATACTTTGTCCTATGGTGTTTGTTCCATTTTGCAAATTTCTCCCTTAAAAAAATATATATGTGGAGGGCTAAATAATGACATTAGCATAAGTACAAATCTTATAACACATCGACCTGCTATGAAGAACAGTAAGAAGAACAAATAAAACTACAGAGTACCACCACCAAGTCTGGAGAACATTCAAATTCATAATTATCTTTATTTACTTATTTGAGGTGCTGGGGATTGAACCCAGGGCCTTGTGAATGTGAGGCAAGCACTCAACCAACTGAGCCATATCCCCAGCCCCATAATTATCCTCAAGTACAAAAACAAGAAATCACACTGAGTTATATTTCAGTCTCCTACTGCATGTTGTTGTATAAGGGAAGAACATTCCAGGAAAAACTGGGTGACAGAGGCTAAAGGAAAGCTATTGGGAAGCCTAAGGTTGATACAAAATCACTATTAGAAAGTCTGTTCCTAACTGTCTATGCCCCACCTGATGAAGAAGAAGGACTTCCCCCCAATTTGATCCCTTTAAATATGGAAAGAAACAGAAGAATTTCAGCAGAAGAAATAAAGTTATCAAGGATAAAACTACTAAAACTAAGATATTCAACAAGATAATAGGTGTAACATTTAAAAGTCAGTAACATTAATACTCAAAAATAACCAGTTAAAGAAAGCCACAATAGCAAGAAAAGAGCTGGGGGGTAGCTCAATGGTAGAGTGCTTGCCTAGCATGTTCAATACCCTGGTTTAGATCCCCAACATCACAAAAATAGAAAATAAAACAGAAAGAAAGAGACTAGAAGGAAGAAATGTGTAAAAACCATCCAATAAAAACATTAAAACATATCTAAAAGAGACAGTAACAGATTGATATCTTTGACATAACAATAATGACAATAAAAACAATAATACATGGGGCTGGGGATGTGGCTCAAGCAGTAGCGCGCTCGCCTGGCATGCGTGCGGCCCGCGTTCGATCCTCAGCACCACATACAAAGACGTTGTGTCCGCCGAAAATTAAAAAATAAATATTAAAAAAATTCTCTCTCTTTTCTTCTGTCTCTCTCTCCCTCTCTCTCTCCTCACACTGTCTCTTAAAAAAAAAAAACACACACAATAATACATGGCAAAACTAACAATAGCAAAGTTCAGAAACAGACTCACAGAAAATATTTGCTATATTTATCATAAAGGGCTAATACCCTTTATATACAAAGAAATTCTTTACAACTGAGAGGAAAATCCAACACTCAATACAAAAAATGAGCTAAGCTACCAGTAGGTAAATTCATGATTTTTTTTAATATTTATTTTTTAGTTGTGGCTGAACACAATAGCTTTATTTATTTATTTTTATGTGGTGCTAAGGATTGAACCCAGGGCCTCGCACGTGTTAGGCAAGCGCTCTACTACTTAGGCACAATCTTTAAAGTGTATTTTATGTTCTTAAAAATGTATTTGTGACTATTAGAATATATACACATTTATATATAATCCTTAATTACAAGCAAATGTGTTTAATCTCAGAAGGGAAATGAAAAATAAATGACTCTGTGATACCCATTTTTTTAACCTACTAAATTGGTGAAATTTAAAAAGCTTAATATCACACTGTGTCAAAGCTGTGGGGACATGAATACTCTCATATTGCTTGTGGTAATGTGAATTGGTACAACTATTAAGAAGTTTAGTTTGGCAGTAGTGAGCAAAACTACATATTCATTTGCATTTTAACCCAGCAAATTTATATAAATTACTCTGGATAACAAACCTCTAATAATAGCAAAATATATAGGGTTATTCATCTGAGTACTGTAATCGCAAAATATTTTAAACAACCTACATTCCATATGTAGCAGATTACTTAAATAAAATTATGCATTGCTTAATGATGGGGATTCATACTAGGAAATGAAAGAGTCACTGGAGAGATTTCATTATGGAAACATCATAGTGTACACTTACACAAACTAAGATGGCCATAATGTCACTAGGCTGTACAGTCTTAGGAGACCCCCATTACATATGTGGTCCACCTTGATCAATATGTTGTTATGTGCCACATGACTGTAATGGAGTACCATGAAACTATTTGAAAGAATAAGGAATTTCTATATTAACTGACATGGATTATTAGAAGAATCAAAAGAACCTAACTCTATTTGATATTAATAACATAACCAATGAGGTGAATAGTACCAAAAAACCTAATCCACATAACTTTAAAAAATAACAATATTCATACTGTATGCACTCAGTTTAAGGATAAAGAAAACTGAAATGAACTCTAAATACTATTTTTTTTTATTTTATTATTGATATACAATAGAAATTCTGAAATGATTATTTGTGATCTGGAATTATAAGTAAATAAGCATATTAAAGATGAAAGAAGCCAGGTGTCTCTCTGTTGCATAAGGGAGTTAGAAATTTGAACCCGGGGAGAAGAAGTAATGGGACATATAGTGGTGGATTCATGATATCAGTATAAATTTTTGCTGAAAATAGATGGTAGATAAATACTTAGATTGATTTCCTAGCTCTTGCTGTAACTGAAAGCTCAGTCCTTGTCCCCAATGCCAATCAATGCCAAATTAATAATGAGGACACAATTTTGAGAAAAAAAGAAAAAGAAGTTTTATTGCTTTGCTAGCAAAGGAGAAACTCAGAGCTCTGACTCCAGTCCCAAATCAGGAGGGACAGGGAGCTTTTAAAGGAACTTCAAGGGTTACATTCCAGGTGTGCTCTGGTATGCAGGCCCCACGGCTCCCTGAAGGCTGTTAGGATTCATTTGTTAATTTGGGAGTTATTCACTTCGCAGATCCTCAGCAGGCCTCTCCTTCCTGTAGTGGCTGTGTTCAAGGGTAATTAACTAGGGGAAGAAAAGATAACACTGTCTCCCTAATCTTGTTACAGAGAGCGGAGAAGGAAGAAAAGAGGAAAAAAAAAAACACATTTTTTTTTTTTTAATAAGCCCTAGAGCAATGAGGGCTACATTCAGAAGGTGAAGGGACCATTGTTACATTTTCACTCCTGTGCATAGAACAATAAATTAAATGAGCACAAACAGGAACAGGGACTCCTTGGAGAAAAGGCTAATTCTGATACGACCAGTTACCATGTTGAAGTACGCCTAGGCAAGCATATAAAGCAGGGTTTATTTAAAAAAGGGTAACATGGAGTTCTCCCGGGAGGGAGAAGGGGGCCATAGCTGGTATCCTGGTATCCCAAGAAGCCAGGTGTTCTGCCCTTTTTATATGTCCTAGGATTCCTTTGTTCTCCTGCCCTCTTCCCCCTATCTCTCTCTTTCCAGCATTGGTGACTGGGCCCTGTAAAGCTCAGTGGGA